TACTCAGCAGGAGCAAATATCTTTAATTCCATGTCATTTCCTCAAAATAAGATCATTTAGTTTAGTAATGTCTATTCTGAACATTTTTGCTCCTTAAGTGCCACTTACACATAAGAATCTTAGTACAGRTCTCCCTAGTATGCAAAAAAAACTTTAGACTTTAAATTCTTCCAACTAATAATTGCTTTGATATTTTTCTTTCCATCTCTGCCTGCAAAAAGTCCCTTGCTATTCCCTATTATCAACAGTTTGTCTGATTTATTCCTAAGGGTTTCAAGATGACGTAGCAGTATTTACAAAAATAGTATCCAGAATGTGTATTGCATGCTCTACTGACAGAAAGATGAAACAAAAAAAGGAATCCTGTAGTTCTTTACTTTTGTGCTCTTTGTTTGTTTTCTTTCAGTTTCAGACCGATTTTGATATCAGTAGGCATCGACATCTATCAACATCTATAACTTCTATCTCCACCCTCCAGAYTGCATCTCTCCATCTGAACAGAGATCTATAGCTGTCTCTGTTAGACCAGTTGTGCTCTCAGTGTGCATCGATGACCATCAGCATTGACAGTTATCAAATAGACAGCTAGATATCAGTCCCTACTGATAGGCATCATTACCTCTACATAACAATGTAACCTAAAGAACTAAGGMAGAAGCAGAAGACTTGCTCATACCAATGGAGGGATTAGCAAGATAAGCAAGAAGCTTGAGTGTTAGCCACTTCCACCGAGATGAGCAATGGATGGAGAAGAGAAGCTGGCAAGAGGATCTAGGAGGTACTGCTTTGGGTTTTGCATGAAGAGGGTGGGTGAAAACACAGGCCTCGAATGTGTGCCTGTGGTAGCTGTAGTCCTCTGACACCAAAGCTGTGCAAAACTGATACAGGCAAGGCTAACCACGGCCCCTGGAATTTCTGCTTTACCCTCTGCTCACAGCCCTCAAAAATCCCAGTTCTAAACATGAAGCTCAATCTTTGCAAACTTTGCCATGCCACAAAGATGTGTTCCCTCCATAGCAATGTTTTTCTAAGAGAAATGTAGCTATGTGAACGAGCTAGATCCTAAGCTAGTATGCTTGCTTAGAGATCCTACGAGCTTCTCAGCTAATAAGAGGGCTTGGAAAGTCCTGCTCCCTCCTAAGCATATCAGATCTCCTACACCTGGGACTCTCCAAGGTCTTTTCCAACAGCTTCTGCTCTTGTCCTAGCTTTTGAGCCTTAGATAACCAAGAGCACAGGAAGTGAGGGAGAGCAAAACAGGGAAGATAGAGGCTTGYCACCCAAGCCCCTATGAAGCTTGTTCCTTGCAGCACAGGAATCAGGGAAACACAGGGGATAGTGGAAAGGCTTCAAGGAAGATTCCTGCAGAAATGGAGAACTATGAGGCAGGAGGAGGTGATTTCCCTTTCTCTCCTCTTGCCTCCTCTTTTCAGTTTAAGTTTCTCCGTGCAAAGCTGCTCTCCCGATCTCCCACAGTGACATGACCTCCCAGAGTCACATACTGCAGTTCTTCACCAAGACAACCTGCATCCAGGATCTCCCGAGCTCTTGATAAGTGGCCCGGTAAACTGGTCTGCTGAACTTCACAACAGGAACAGGCAGGCCCAGAGCCTGGCTTGTATAACTGCCTCCTGCAGAGGAAGAGAAAAGAGTGAGCTGCTCTTTCTGACCTTCCTCCTCTGGCCCTTRGCGGTGGAGCAGCTGCAGGGCCAGCACGGTGGAGGGCCAGCTAGGCTGTTGGGAGAACTCTGCTGAGATGGCTGCTGCGGCTTTCCTAGTGGGGCTCTCCCCGCCTCGCCAAGCATACAGTTTCCTGAACAGAAACCCCTACTGAGGCAACCTAGAGAGCATGGCCAGAGGAAGGGTAACTTGCAAGGTCTCACACGTCCCAATGTTTTGCAGACTTCAAAGCTGCATTATGGCCCCAGCACCAGCTAAGGAGCAAAAGCCAGCCTCATGTGCAGCCCTCCAGCTGTACTGCACAGATCTGTGTGGCGTGTGGTGTCCTCCAGCACACACAGCTCAGTGTGCTAAGCAGAGTGGCCCCTTGCTCTGCTGGCACCATCCAGGCTGTCCTGGGGCTCCCGGGGTGGGGGCTGCTGGGCAAGTCCCCCTGTCCCACTGTCCCGGACATCCTAGGACAGTCCCACAAGACTTGGGAGGCCATTCAGGATCCAACCCATGTAACAAGACCCCTCAACATGTTCCCATTTGGCAGGAATGAGGCAGGCCAAACCATCCCGAATCCACTGCTCACTCCCAAACTGTGTATTCCAGGAAGGCCGTACCTACGGCAGCAAGTAGCACCATGAAAGAGCCAAGTATCTGCTGAGCACGGCAAGCAGTGGGATGTACCTAGTGACTAGACTAGACACACTCCGAAAGCTTCTTATCCAGGGCCAGCTCTCCTCTGGTCTCCGGCCCTGAGTTCCGGCAGCAGTCAGGGCACAGGAGGCTCGTGCCTGGAGCCCATCTTCCCCTTCAGATCTAGCTGGGGGCTGTGGTAGCTCTCCACAGCATGAAGCAAAGCGGTATGGAAACAGCAAGAGTCGCTTCAGGAGCTCCCTCCTGATTCCTGCTGAAATGATGGTGTAGACAGACCCGGAAGGAAAACAGCCTACAACCAGGACATGACAAAGGCTCCACAGGGAGGTGCTGCTGGGAAACACTGAGCAGTAGCACGGTCCCGTCAGACAGAATCACTCCAGGAGTTCTGCCAGCCTCACACAAAGGCCACCAGCTTCTCAGGACTTGGACATCTGGTTCTCTTTTCCCTGAACCTTGCCTGGGGTGTGCAGGCAACTCTTCTGGCAATGCAGCACTTGGTTCTGCATGGCTAAAGCTTGGAAAACTATCAGAAAGAAATAGAGCGGTGGATCTTATGGTAGAGCCTGGCCAATGTTATGGTTGAACCTGCCAAGCGCATGCTGAGCACGTGCTGAATCACCACTATAAAGCTTAGAAATCACCATGCCCTTAAATGGTGAAATGGCAACAGGGAAGAGAGAGGAATGAGGAAGAGTTCTAGCTCAGCATCCTTCAAAATGCCTTTGCCAGTCTTGGTGACTTCAGGAAATGACGGAGACAGAAGTGAAAGAGCCTCTGTGCAGCAGCTGCGGTTGTGAGGAAGGTCCTGAAGGATTTGGCAGCCATCCCGAGTTTCCCATGTGCGCAGGTCAAGAGGGGATCTGCAGGTACAGGGCTGGTTCCCAGCGGGCCTGTGCTCAAATCCCAGAAGGCTGCTGCACCGTGTTACACAGCGTCCCCTCCTTTGTTTCTTTCTCTCCTGCTTTCCCTGGAAGCAAAGAGCTGGTTTGCCTGGGGAAGGGGGCCTTGAGAATCAGGTGCAAGGTAGCAAGGCAAGCGGGATTAATGTCCCTCAGTGAAAGCACCTTGCACTGGGCGCAGCCTTCTGGACATGACTTTTGCCTTGGTGGAAACGATTGCAATGAATTTGTCCGATCTGTACATGCAAACCTTTGTGTGTCCTGTCAGATGCCACAGTTCCTGTATCATGCATCTCCCAGGGCTTTTGGAGCTTTCCTACGTGGGCACCAAAGTGATTTTAACCTCGTGGAGCAAATGTTAGGAATCATACAACTCTAGGGCGCTAGGATCCTGCTGTGAAAGGAGGCCCAAAGTGACGAGTGGATTCACAAGTCAAGCAGGGGTACGGAGGGAAGTTTCTGTGTCCTGCTGAATGCTGTGTGCCAGAGCAACTGTGACGGATACGTTCCTTTCCCAGCTCATCCTGGCCTGTACCTTACATGCAGCCCTGTTTTGTTGCTGACCRCCAGYRACYGABCTAATTCTGGCAGGCGCCATYGTCCTGATTTCTGTTCTCACTGAGACTTAACAAAGCAGTCCTCAAGGCTGCATCGTAAACAGGGAGGTAAGGCCGACACTAACCTAAGTCTTTGAAGTTAAAAATATGACTACAAGCCAATCATCTTATTCCATAAATACTCGGACAGCCTGAGAGCCGCTTTGAGCTCTCCTGACACGGCTGCGGCCTGCACACCAGGATCTCCCCTTGGGCAGGGACGCCTCTCAAGGTTACTCCTCGAGGTTCCTCGAGAGATCTTCCTTTCCACTGCAGATTTGTGGTAAGTGAATATAGCGCGCTTTCTTTCTTCCTTTCTTTCTTCCTTGCTTGCTCTCTCTCTTTCTTTAACTTTACTTTGTAACATAAGCACCCTGAGTCATAAACCGTTGACCAGGTCTGGGACTAGGATTGGATCCAGCCGCACCCAGATTCCTCTCAGAAGGAGCCTGGAAAGCAAGRGGGTCCAATCTGAACCTCGTGACCCAACGGGAGGGTATCCCAAGATAATTGTGTATTATCTTGAGCCTCCATGCAGTGAATAATAAGTGACCTTGCCACAGAATCTCGGGAAATCATTGTCCATATTAATAAATCCTGTTATTATTTCTTTCATACGAGTGAAGTGCATTTGTCACTCACCCCTGCCACCACTCGTTCCGTGACAGCAACGCTGAGGCCTCGCCATTCTCTGGTTCTTGATAGCGCTTCCATGTGAGTCCAAAGCTGAAGAAGGCACCCATGGAAAGAAATACTCATTTTATCAAAGTACCAAGGTGCTGTGAATGCATAATTGATGAGGGACGCTCTGAAAAAAGGGAATATGTGAGGGGTGAGGAAGGGAGGTGGTGCCTGTGTGGGAGAAATGGTGAAGCAGGAGAGCTGGGCTCAGGGCCTCCTAGCTGCAGCTGGCCACCCCTCGGTGGCCCTGGCTGCTGCTGTGGGAAGTGCAGCTCACACCAGTTCAGCTGCCCTTCCAGTCAGTGCAGCTGACTTCTGCAGAAGGGCAGATCCTCAGGAGTGCAGAACACAACGATGCGAGGAACTGCCTCATTTCCTCCAGGATTTGGCGTTGAGAAGGATACCAAGACTGTAGAACTTCTAGGCCTACCTAAGAACATCTGGGCCTTCATTGCTGAAATCAGGCTCTGCCTTGGGAGGTGGCACTATTTGAGGCATGGTTGGTCTGTACAGGTTCCTCACCCCGGAGGAAATGGAAGAGAAAGCAGTGGGTTCCTCTGTTTGGACCTTCTTCCTCAGACAGCTCTTAGCAGCGAGCAGCTCCAGCGAGGGGATGGTGAGGGCCTGCCCTGCTGCCGGGGGTGCTCTGTGGGGACGGCTGCTCAACGGGCCTCTGCCGTCCTGGTGGCCAGGACTGACACCCTTCTCCTTGGCGAGTACTGACACCCTTCTCCTTGGCGAGTACTGACAACCTTCTCATTGCTGCAGAGGACTGGCGCTAACCAACCCTGCCGCTGCCTCCCGCAGGAAGAGACAAATCCAGAGGCAGGCAGAGCCCCTTCAGGAGGCGGGAAGAAGGATCTGCTTGCCATGGAAAATGAAAAACTCCGCAAGTTTCCTCCAACACATTTTCAAAATGAATAAAAATCCTACTGGGCTAAAATAGTGTGAGTGCTTCGCTCTTTTGGTCCTTTCTGTGTGGATGCAACACAGAGTGCTTATGGCAGGGCTGGGTGATTGAGAGGAGCTGTGAGAGAGCTGCCCTCYATCAGGAGATACCATCTCCCATATGGCTCCCAACTCGGGCTGTCCTTAAGGTTTCCTTCATGAGAATGGGGGCAGAGGGGATGTGGAGCTGAGACTTGGGGCATAGATGGTTGTCCTTGGACTCGGTGGGGCTGCTGCAGTGAATGAGGATGGATACAGGTGCAGGGTGCCATGAGTGAGAGGAGCGCCAGTGAGAGCTGGGGCTGCTGCGGCTCCAAGCCTTCAGCTCCCTTCCTTGCCCAGGACCTGAAGGCCTTCAGCTGGAGAGAAGCCTCGGGAGCATCAGCCAGACCCAGCTCTCACACCTGAAGGCCATGTGCGTGCTTCCACAGTGTAACCACCCCACAAAATTCATGTAACTTCATATTAGAGAAGCATCAATTGACAGTGCAGTAATGTGAGACTTTGCACAGACAAACAGTGCAACAAATCAACATCCTTCTGCCTCCAGCTACCTGCCTAGGCTGTCTGCAGCAGTGGAAATAGGAGGAAAGCGTGTACCCCAGCCCTCAGCAATCCCACTCACATGCCATAGCATTAGCTTGAATCAACAGTGTAAGAGGGTTGCTACTGTGTCAGACACGAAGCGTTGTCCTTCTGCAATCTAAGCATTGTCTAGGTGCTAAAAAAGGGCAAGAGATTACAGGATAAGAGCAAGCAACCTTTGTAATCTTGGTGACCTTGGTTTTCTGATTTCGCAGCAGTGCTGTAACAGACTGGAGCTTCCCAAGAGCTTTGGAGCAGAGCTCCACTAAGCACTCCTAACTTCATGTGCTGAAGACCTGCGTAAAGGATAAAGAGAAATAACGAGAGACAGATGGACCTTTTCAAAGGGACCAGGGTGTCTCTTTAGAGGGAAAAAAAAAAAAAAGGAGAGGAGAGGAAATACAAAGAAACAAGCATAAAGCCAGCTAAGTTTATGACAGGGAAGAAAGTAAAGGATTCTGCACTATGATTCAGCAAACTGTTAAAGTTCATCTTAATTTTAACTATGTGCCTAACTTTCTGCTCTTACTTAAATCCTCCTTAAATCTGCAAATTTTAGCACGTGCATACACGCCTTACTGAATCAGCACTATAGCTTGCTACTTGAATTGCTGTTATATTAAAGACAAACCACAAAGATATACACCATAAATTTTATTGACATTGTTTCATCTGCATATAACATTAAACTGAAGAGTCTTGTCTGATGTTCAGACGGAATGCAAGCGTTTCTGGCAAAGTCCGTGTCAGGTAATACCCAAGTTATACGGCAGCTGTATTCATACCACAAACACAGACACAAAATAGTTGTAGGATATAGGCTCTTGTTTAAGACCTATGAACCTGTGAAAAACCTGTGCTAAACAGGAGTATATTAGATCCTTTTCAGCTGCAAAACTAACTGTGCTCTGTGTGAACAGCTACAGTTACTGTATTAGCAGCCCTTAAGGAGATTATGGCACTGTCAGCAAGAGAACTTGTACCACGAGTTAGTTTGGGGCAAAGTTCAGATTTTTTTATCATATATTATGCTTTCCTGATACTAGGATATACGCTTCAACTTTATAGGATAAAATATATTATTTTCTAATTTGAAATGCTTTATTCATTTAGCGCATGATTTTTAACCTACAACTTTTAAAAAGTTTTTGATGATTGAGATCTTCAGAAAAAACTTCTGAAATGACTTGTAGTTTTTATAGCTCCCTTAGAGGGTGACTTTCATAGTGCATTYCCTGTCTGCCTCTGTCATACAGCATAGACCTCAACTCATCTTCCTTTTTCTCTGGAACACCAGCAAGAGAAAAGGGTTTGTGGACATGATGCAATTACAGGGAAGGCAATTTGGTCACTTCTGAAAGCTCATTTCTAAACAAACAAAGTAGCACATGTGAACTACTCAGTTCTGCTCTTTGTGCTTTACACTGTCATATCATGCAAGCTCACAATAAACCCACGGCACAGCCACAGCCACAACAGTCCATTGCTCTTACTTACATAATCCCAGCATTAAAGATAAATATCAAAGTTACCAGACTTTTTTTTTTTCTGAGTGAAGGAAAATGCTATGGAAAATATACTCTCTTGTGAGCTAAAGGACTGCATCTTAAGCAACATTATTGATGACCACAGCTAAATTTTGTATGCAAGGAGAAGGAGATGCTGAAAAGTTATATTTTACTGGGAAAAAATAATAAGAGGAAGATGGTCCAATTTCAATGCAAAACAGTTTCTAGGGCATTTACTCACAAAATTAGTCTTATCATTCATTTAGCCTTGTCTCAGATTCTTTGCCTGCTTCTGCTGGAGTTCAATCCAGCAAGGCTCTGCAGCATCAGAGAATGTGCAAAAGAGAGCAAAGAAGGCCAGTGTGGTCTCAGAGTATGTGATGGCTACGGTGTGAGAACATTCAGCATGTTGCTTATCTGCTCCTGTGAAAGAAAAAGAGTCTCTGTGTAGACTCAAACGCACGGGCGTCGAATGGAAACAGCTACTTTTCACATTCTTCAGGTCTGCAAACCAGTTTACCACATGTCTGTGCAAATATTTGTACTGTCCCAGCGCACCAGTGCTTGGTGATTTAAACAAACAGCCTAAGGCAGGGCATGCCTTCTGGTAACAGTTGTGTTAAATCCGTGTCAAAACATAGCCTCAAAGAGCAAGGCCRGCAGTAAAAACATCCTTCCCTTAGCTCCTGTTGAATACCGCGTGAGGAATTACACCTTCAGGAGTAATCTGGCTCATTTGTCATTCACAATTTCATGTTCAGTGGAAGTGAATCTAATCTTAACTAGGAATCATGTTCAAAGTGTTATACCAATCCTAGATAAGCTGCCAAGGTCTCCAGCGTAGGACTCCTGATGGAAAATATAAAGAACGTCCTTCCTAAAACAGCAGCTTTAGGTAAGTATTAATATTTATACTCTTTTCATCTGCTTCATTTTCAGTTCACAAGATGATATTTTCAAGGTTTTCTCTGTCACCAACAGGATTAAAAATCCGTTTCATAAAAGATTTCCATCAAGATTTTGTGTTGAGTACAAGATTTCAAGAGCTGCAAGCTACAGAGAATACAAATCCCATAGGAATATGAGTCCTATGAGTCCTAGAAACATTGCGAGGGCTTAGCTCCTAAGTGTTTTGGCAAGCTTCCAAATGTAAAGAAAGAACCTGGTTCTGCCRGGTGTTTTCTGAAGGGTAGATGTGCACACAGCAAGCTCCCACATCCATGTTGAAGMTCCAACTGTTGAAGATCCAGACGGATTTCCAGGTCCTTTACTGGAATCATCTCCTTCCCTGGACCTTTAAGGTGATATGCACAGAGTGCCCAACGAGAGAGGAAGGATAGGAAGCTAGGATCTGTGCATGTGCTGCTAAGCAGGCACCACAAAGCTATTTGCAAGGATAAAAGCCAGCCCATGAAGAGACACGGACCCTGTCTGTCCAAGAGGGAATTTTTTGCTTCTGAAACACCATCATTGCACCTCCTGGGACCACAGGAGTCCGCAATGTTCCTTGCAGCCGCATGTGCCCAGAAATACAGATACGCCTAATCCCTATTAGAAAAAACTTCAGAATATGGAAAATGTTTTATTTTGCAGTTACCTAGAAACCATCTAGGAAAACACAAAACTCTGTGCAAGTGAATCATTATATATGTTTCACAACATCTCCCTGAGGAAAGTCACTAATTGCAGCAGTTTGTTGAAATTAAAATAAGTGTAATAATGATAATGGTTAGTGACTGTGATATTATTGCAATCCTATATTGCTACACTTTGTGCTACGACTGTATCGAATCTCATAAGCCAGGAGGGCTGGGTCTAGATGGCATATGAGTAGGAAATGAAGAGCTGCATTAGACATTTGTGRTTTGTTAAGAAGTCACAGGCTTCCTACTGGTTTGGCCTGGACCGTATGTTCTGGTGCTTTGGTGTCAGGAAACACCCTGGAGCTTTAAGGCTGTGTTTTGATTGCGAGATAAAACTCAGGGCCTGCCTGTCTTCATCAACACTAGCTATATAAAAATCCCAAATTTTACAGGACTGATGATTTTGCAAGAGTAAGTGTGTTGGTCATGACAGCATGGAAAAATTCCAGCTCAGAAACTTGCMCTTACTCTTCATCTACTCTTTCGAAATGTGAAATTATCTCCTCTCCCACTGAAGTCTCCTGGTGAGGCATCGCCGGCACAGCGATGAGGTATTTCCATTTCAGAGGTGGCTGCACCTCAGTGCAGGAAGAAGCAGTCTTTTTATACACAGACACACTAAAGTCATCTGTTACAGCAGTGGGTGGGTTTGGAAAATCCATAAATGTGAGGTAAGAGTGAAACTTTAGGCTTTGTAYCGATGAACTAACTTATATCTCAACTTGCACCAAACCACAGGGGCACTGCCTGCCCGTTTCTGGAGCCGGGGGAAGGCGGGATGCGGTGGGAGGCGCGAGCCCTGCCCGGTCCCTCCTGGGGCAGCCKGGCCGGCAGCGCGGGCCACAGGGCCGGCTCCATCACGGTGGTTATTTGGGGAGGGCGCACATGGCAGACRGCTGCTCCCCTGTCCGTTGGTGCGGTGGTGTGTCCGT